AGGCGGAGGGGTGCAGAGCTGGACTGGGAAGCACTGGGGGCTGCCAGCACTTGGCAGGAAGAAGAGGTATTTTGCAGCACAAACCCCATTTTGGTCTCCCTGGGTGGGGTGAAAGCTGGAGAGGGCTTCCCCTTCACCGAGACAGGGCACCCATGAGAACCCTGTGCCACCCTCGGCACCCAGCGTGCCAGCCGCACGGGGTTTTCCCAAGCTCCTCCTAGCCAGCATCAAGGAAAACAGCTTGCAGCCAGGTCGGGTGTGCACGGGAAAGGGATTGGGGGGGGACATGACAGCTCTCTGCCCAAAGCACCATGCCACGGGTCTGTTGGTTCAACCACAAACAAGCTCCTCTTTGAGCTGTGCCTGGCCACCAAGGGCTGGAAAAGCCCAGCCGTGCTCTCGAGAGGAGCTGACGCCGTGTGGCGAGCTCTGCCCTGGAAGGCAGAAACCGTCAGGCTGAAGCGTATTCAGGCTAAATTCATATTCAGCAGCAAACACTTTGGAAAACAGAACTGCACAGTATGAGAACGCTGGATCATTTGGCCCTGCACTGGACATTCGCTCCAAGCCCTCCTCCTAAACATGGAGCTGATTTTACCTCTTCTTGCAAACCCCTCCATTTCAGCATGAACTAACCCACCTCAGACACTCCGGCTGCTCATATTTACATCTTGACTCTGCCTGAGTGGTGCTACATTCCTGGCTTTGGCAACGCGGCCATTTCAGCCAGCAGCGAGCCGGGCAGCCCAGCCACACGCCGGGCATTTTGACCAGTCTTTCCACCTCCTTTTCCATCTCCTCTCCAGCATCCAGCTCTTGGATGCAGTCAACCAGTGCCCATGAGAGCACCCAGACCGGGAGGGCCCCCCTGGGGACAGACCCGCCGGCGGGTCCACCTGCCCCAGTGCGCCGGCTATCTGGCCGGTGGCAGCGTTGCTGAAGCACCGGAGCTCGAGGAACACAGGGAGATGGACACATATTCCCACCCAGACCCACTACCCTTGCTGGTGGTGTTTCCTTCAATTAATAGTGACACAAAGGAAACTCCAGGCAGAGTTTAACTCCAGTGTAGGGAGAAACGGCGGCTGGAAAGGAGGGAGAGGACAAGACACAGTACTTGCTTTCGAATAACCCTTCAACCTCAGGGTAATTACTGCTGTGGTGTTCAGAGGAAAACAAGGTCAGGAGGAGCAGAGCGCAGGGCAAGATTCCCAGGCCTGTGCACAAGCAACTAGGACAAGGGTGTTTGTTCGGCCTCTGGAGGGGCTACTGCCTGGCTTGGTCTCAGAAAGGATGCAAGACCCAGAGGGAGCTGTAGAAAAATCATCAGCCTCTCTAAAAACAGAAAGCAAAATGTTTTCCTTCTGTCCCTGGGGGCACAAATGCCGATGTCCCGAGAAATGTGCATGGGAAAGGATATTAAAAAGCGAGCGGTGGAGGCCAGGCAGAGCTATGCTCTCCACAGGGACTGCCCTTCCAGGAGGCACCAGTGGCTCTTTGCGTGGAGACCTACAAGGGAGCGGGGATCCCAGTGAGAAACCGGGGCTGGGAAGAGCCTGTGCTGTCCCAGCTGGAAGAGGGAAGCTCTGGCTGTGGGAGACAGAGAAGAGAGAGGAGCAACCTGTCAAGGACGGGGCAGCAGCAAGGAATGGAGACAGCCCCCAGAGGCGAGCACCACACCCCAGGTTCATGCAGCCGCCAACTTTTCGCAAGGGATGGCTCTGCTTGAAAGAGCTGGGTATGTCAAAGGTCAGGCATAATTTCACTCCCTTCTGCAGGGACTACTTAGGCCTTGTTAGAGCAGGATTTACCACTGGGCTTGGTTTCTTTCACATGGAGATCTGCCAGGCTTTGCTGCGCTGTAACCCTTTCTGAGCCGTGCAGATACCCGATATCCTGGTTCCCGTAGCTGGGGTGATAAAGAGGAAAATAGGTGATGGGGCTGTGTGTTTCTCTGATGCAATCCTCTTTATGTCCAAGCTTATACAAAGGTGTTTTCCTGTTAGAAAGGGAGAGAAACAATACACAGCCTGCCCCTTGCTCAAGCATAAAGCCCCTATTCGCCATAAAACTGGCCTGGGTGATTCTCACGGCTGACGAGTTTGAAGTGATGACTCTGGTATCACCACGGTTTCATGTTCCTCCTCTCCACTCCCCCTCAGATACTCACCTCTGACCTATGGGACTTCTCCCCCTGCAATCAGATAGCAGTGACACCCCCCCAGCCTCAGCAAAGTCTTGCCCAGCCCTTGCATAGATATTTTTGGGGGTAGCAGCCCATATTGTTTCAGCTATCTGTTCTAGAAAGAAGTTCACTGGCTTAGGTTTATCTCAAAAGAAAGGCAGCTGTTACACCGTGGAGGGATTCCCCACCCAAAACACTCCCACAGCCCTCCCTGTAATATGGTTTTCCTCCTTTGCCCCAGCATCAAGGGCCCAAAAAAACCCCTGGCAGAGGCAGCCAGCCCCATCCCTCGAGGGCACAGCTCTTTCCTAGAACCCAAAATCGTGGTTCAAGCTGCAGAACAGGTCCTGGGGAGGCTTCCTGCCCCATGGGATCAAGCCCCCTCTCCTGCCACACGCTGCTGCCCCTCCGAGTGGGAAGGAGAAGAGATCTGCAGCACGGTTGCAGAGGATTAAGCCCCAGTCTGCTCCTAATCCCTCTAACAGGATAACCAAGTGCTCGGTGCCAGCATCTCTAACCTCCTGCAGCCCCGGCCGGCGTCAGTGCCCGCCAGCGTGCCAGCGCGTGGTTTCCGACGGCTGCAGAAAACATCCACTGGCTGGGACAATCCTTGCATGTGGCTGGACTTCTCTGTTTATTTTGTAGAGAAAATAAAGCTTTCCACATTCTCTGCCCTTTCCACCAAAAGGGCAACAGTCTCTTTAAGCTCAGGCTTTACATGTAGGGATGTTGATGTTTAGGTACCAGGAATTTCAGGACTATCTGAAGAAACCTAGATATTGAATATCCTCAGGGCATGAAAAGCTCTGTACAGCTGCCGAGTGCCCTTCAGGGTACGTAAAACTTCGTGATTGATAAGGAAGAAGGCAAAGGGCAGCACTATCCCCCAGTTTTGTTCCATTCCCACTGCTGATCATGTCAGAGCTCAGATGAGATCCCAGCCACTTTGAGTCCTTTGCTCTAACCTCAGTAAACAAGATTATATCCCGCTTAGAGCTGCTGTGTCTGTGTAAGATGCTTACTATAAGCACCTTTATATAACCCCCTTCTCTGAATTGGAGTGCTTTGCAGTCTTGAAGGATTTATCCATGCATCTCTCCAACAGAAAAGGTGTTGCCTTCATTTGACAGATGGGAAACCAAGGGCTGGAGGGGCTGAAGGGAAGGACACGTCTCCCTTTATTTTGTCCGTCTAAAAGTTAGGCACACGGGCTTGGCCTCTTACACGCACCTCCTCAGCAGCCAGCGGTAACAGCAGCATTTCCCAACATCATTTCTATCTGCTGTAGGAGGAATCACCCCGGGAAAAAAATGTCTCCCCACTGATGATGGCTCAGCATCGACCACTGGCCAGGACTAAACCCCAGCGAGGTGGTGGCGGCTGGTCCCTGCAGTGCCCGTCTTAGGGCACTGCCCAGGAAAGATGGAGCAGATCCCACATCCCCAACACGCCTGGCCCCTCTAGCCTGTTGGCTGAGAGCACCCACCCGGTAACACAAACCGACACTCTGTGGTACGCCGTGATGCACAATCGAAACCGCTTATGGATTAGCAGCGTGAGTGGCCTGACCGTGCCAGAGCACGGAGCAGATGCTGCGGGCAGATAAGCCATGGATCTTTTGTTCTTTTACAGGAAGCTCTTGGCAAGCTCCTGCCTTGACGCGAAGTGCTAAATTGTGTACTTGATGACTTTATCATTGAGGTTCCTCTGATAACCCAGGTTTCTGTGGCAAGGGATGGACCCTCGTCCTGTTATCATGCTCACAAGATGCCTCCCTTACTCAAGCCATCGATTTGGTGCGTGTGCTTCTGGCATATGCTTGATGGAAGGTCCTCCAAGACATGTAGGGCTCAAGGCAAGCTTGCAGCCTGATTAAACATCAGGGGCCTGACGGTGCTAATGCTATATGAATATGTAACAACACTAATGAACTCTAATGAGCTGGGCCATGGGGTTTGCAGGGAGCACAGAACCTGTCTTACCGGCTGGTGAGGAAGAGGCAGTTTGCTCATTATGGCACGCGCTCCACTCCCACCCATCCCTGATGGGGAGAGGCTCTGCTCAGGCCGGGGCCTCGTTAATTTGTGAAGTTGCCTTTTGATCTCTGTATCTCAGAGCGTAATGAGGAGGTTTGAACTCTGCCCGTCCTCCCTCCTTCCCACCCCCCCCTGCTCCGTGCCTCCCACTTGTTCTGCTCCCCCAGAGCCTGGCAGGTAAGAGGAGATCTGCCACAGCTCTGGGATTCATTGCTTCCTGAAGAGAGGCATATCTGGGGCCTTTTAAGACACAGTTCAGTAGCCACATCTATGGCTGATTGTAGCAGGGAAGCACAGGTCCCTGCCCACCCCTCTCCCTCTTGCACAGATGCCTGACCCCGTGGGGGCATCCGGGGTGATCACACCTCAAACACAGCTCCTCACTCCCTTGGTTCCCACAGCTCAAAGTCGCTCTCGGAGGCCACCTGGAGACACTTGTGCCC